TATATCATGGATTATTAGAATTAAACTTAGATTTTATTAGGAAAAAAATAATAACCTGTAGAAAAGACCAGTTTCATCCATATTATAAATTCTTTCGGGTGGATAATGTTCACACTTATTTTTCAATAATGGTAAAGCATCAATAACAATACTTAGATCAACTGATGATGCTTCTCCATGAAGTTTTTGCTGACAAATTCCATTACGATCTTTAAATTTTTGGAGCCATCCAGGAGAAAATGATAATGCTCCACTTGGAATTTCCAGTCTGTCTGCTAGCTGTTTAGCTTTTTCAATTATAAGTGCATCACTCAAAATCGTTTTACTTTGATAAACTAGAATAAATTCTTTAAGTGCAAGTTCAAGTTCAGGAAAAGTTACTGACTTATGTCTTTTTGCTTCTGGATTAGAAATTTCCATGTTAAGTATTTCATCACTTTTTTGTAAAATTCTAGTAATTGTTGATTCATTCACTTTAAGCCCCCACTTTTGCTCAATCCAATTAACATATTCTTTTCTTGCTAATTTATTATTATCACAAGCATATAAGCAGAATTCATATTTTTGGGAATTGTTTAAAGTTACTTTGCTTTTTGAAGACATTTTATTTTGAAACAAGTAATGATAATAAATAAATAGTAATGAATAAAGATAATGATAATTTATTACTAAAATCAGTTTATGGAATAATTGATATCAATGTTTGATAATAATAGAGAATCTCAGTTTTATTAATTATTGGAAAAACCATTAATCATCAGTAGGGGATCAATCAATCATGCCAGATTTATTAATTACAGTCAAGGACTTATGTTAAGTCAAGTTTAGTCGAGTTTAGTCAAGATGATTGTTACTAAATTAGGTTTTTAACCCCTTTACACTGCCAGCCCTGATTAATAAGCATATTTTATTAGATAAAATAGAGTAGAAGTCATGTTATTTGTAATACCTCAAGAGGTATAAAAAGGCTTGGTTTTAGACCAAGTGAGAATAATTATGTGGATCATGTTAATAACATTCATAATAATCTATAACAATTGAATAAATACCCCCCCCCCCATTGTTAATAATTAAATAAACACATTTTACCTCATTATGAATTTTTGCATAGTTAACAGGAAAAGTCATTGTGAATTGTTCCATGGTCATCTCTGATGATTAGTGGTCTGGCCACAAATCATTGGTTAGGAACCCCTCCCCCCATTTGATCGTTCTATGCTTGCTTGTAGGGACGCCTCAAGTGGTATAGTTGTAAATATTTCTTGTATATATTCTTTTTATTTTATTATCTTAGGCTAGTGCCAACAGTACTTAGCATTAGTACTGTAGAGTAGGAACTGCGCAGTATAGAATTATATACAACCATTAATTGTTTTTACATAAGAATACACTTTGGGTTTTAACTTTATGTACATTAATTAACTACATCAAATGTTAAAAGGATTTCAAAAGGTAGTTGCCTTAAGAAATTTGTTTTTGGTTCAAACATTTTGTATATATAATTTATTTATATGGTTTATTATTACTAATGCTTTAAATTATGTGCAAAAATATTGATATAACATAAAACAGCATCACCCAAGTAATAATAATACTCAGACTATGCAAAAATAAAGAGAAAAGACATGAGTATTTGCAAAAGAATATTAATAACTTCGGGGTGAGCTTTTTCTAACTCACATACAGTATATATATTTTTATCATTGTCTTAATATTATTGATTCTCTCTTTTTTATAAAAAAATAATAGTAGATCCAATTTTTTAAGCTCAGGTATTGAATCAAATAAAATTTTCTCCCTCTTTAATCAAGCCTGCTGGTAGTGAATTTATGCCTACTACTGCCCAACAGAGAATCAGTAACCATTTGAGACCTACTACAATCTACCTATACTGCACTCAATCATACTATGATGAAAGGGATTTCTCACAAGCAGCATTTAGTTACCTCTTTTAGAAAAACAATTAATTCAATTTTAAAAAATCAATTTAAAAGAACAACAGCAATCACCTGTTATTCTCTTTAGAAAAATAAATCAATTTAAAAAAATTGATTTAAGCTATTATTCAATCACCTCCATTATTTTTTGTTGTATTGTGTGCATGTGTGTGTTTTGTGTGTGTGAGTTGTGTGAGTTGTGTGTGTATAAGCCAAGGCCAAGATAAGCTTTATACTTTTGTGTTTTGTGTGTGTATTGTTGTATGTATATAATTTGTATCACATACAATCTAAAATTATTTTTCATTTAATTTTTATTAAAACAATTCTGATTGGCTAATTTGAATAAAAAAAAATAATAAATTCATTATTAATAAATTCATTTAAAAAAAAAAATTTTTTTATATTTTTTTAAAAAAAAATAATTCAATCACAACAAAGTCAACCTAATAAAATTCATATATCATTTATTGCTTTTTTTTCTACCATTGTGTGATTGTAAATAAGGACTGGGGAAGTCCCGAGCATGTCGATCAATCGGAACCAACTTACTGCGGCGGCCACGTGACAATGACATCATTTTCTATTTTATCTTAATATTTTGTGTAACAACTACGCCACATACTGCGTCATGTT